TGGACTAGCTATGCTTACTTATTTGGGAAGAACATACTTGTAAGAGCATATCATAAAAAGTGGCAATAAGGTTATGTTAGACCTTCAACAACAGTCACGTTCAGTTTTGGTTATTTAAACTTTCAAAAGTAATAATTTTTTGGTACAGTTGATAAGTTAAAAACAAGTGACAGTTTCCCTTAAAGTACAAAGTATACGTCTAATAGAACTTGTAACAACATATTTAGACCTACACTTATACTGTTGACTCACAAGACGGTAAATACATATAAAATATGGTACGTGGTGATTGATTTCGTCTGGACACTCCAATCATCATCAGAAAAATTTTAATTTTGCAAGAAATAACTTTGTGTGTGGTAATAACGCCGTATCCTTCAGCAGCACATTCTGTCAGCGGTTCAATTGGACTGGTTTCGTTAAAAACTTCATATTATTTCACTGTTTAACCTATAATGTATCATGTCAATAAAGCACACTATTTATATCCATTGAAGATACCATTATGGTTTAGTAATAAACATATTTAAGTATTTGCCTCTCCTTCGATACGTTGATATTTTACAGACACAGATAAAATAACAGGAGTAAAACTATTTGTTTACTGAAAATGTATTTATATAAATATTTGCGTAATCAGTATGTACAATTTTATATTGCTAATAATGCATTTTGTTACTAGTTGTATCTGTATGGTTATGATTTTAACGTGGAATCTTTAACAAGTGTAATTGAACAAATAATAATCAGTATTCATTTTATGAGGTATTTGTAATCGTCGATATAATAAAATACTTGCTAGAAAATATGTTGGTTTCCCACAGTAATAAAAAAGTACAGTAGTACTGTACAATGTTTATTCAGCATATAATTATATTTCGCCGTATGACTTTGCTAAACAACGGAAGGGCTTTTAATATCAAGTACTGTACAACAATTAAGTACGATTCGATTAATGTCATTGTTGTTGTCTACGAGCTAGCGCTTTCTGGTAGTGACATTCTGAACTGCATTCTGCATTACTGGAAATTAAAAGCAGGACCTTTCGTGCAGTGATTTAAATACTATTAAAAAAATGGTAATCTACAAGAAAGATTATATTTAATTAAATAAATGTGATTGTGATACAAATTTAGTTAAAGTCAAAATTATTTAAATGTGTAAATAAATAAATCTAACAAGCAAATATTTGTTGTTAAGACTGAAGGTAGAGTTAACACTAGTCCAGAGACCCGAAACCTCACACGTATAAGCATATATGATGGCAAACAGTAGAAAGGTGTGCGAGAATCAACGTGTATACATTTGAAGTTACGTTTATCACAAATAACATATCCCATAAAAGTCCGAAAACAGCGTTTTCGTTTTGAATCACTCTTACAAAAAGCATTAAACTTACAATTTCATAAAAAATTACGTATTCAAAATCGTTTGACAACAATTTAATCTAATCACGCAAAAGTAATGGTAGGGTTATAGGGATGAGTAAATTTGTAGTAGTTTAATATTCCACGAGGGGCGTTAGTTGTAGTTTGGGCTGAAAATAAAAAATATACCTATTTTAAATAATCGATTATGTTACTATTAGTTATAACAATACTTCCGAACACGAAGTATACTTTGTTCATTTTCTTGTAATTGAATTTACATGAACTCGCTTATTGTACTTCATATCTGAAAATCTAACAATCACCCTTGCTTTTACACGGAGAGTTTTTCTATCTACTGGTTTACGTATCTCAGGACGGTCATTCAACTCTTGGTGGTCAATAAAGGTTTTTTTCACAACTCAAATTAAAAGAAAAACATTATTCTCTTTCGCACACTCCCTTCTTTTGCGAAGCCAGCTCCTTCATATTTATAATCCCTCATATTTATTTACAAAGAATCGAAGAATCTTTAGAGCTTTTTCAACAAATAAGTTGTGTTCTATTATGTTCAATGACAATATTATGTTTAAAGGTTTAACCAACAAAGTGCAGAACCATTTTTTTAGAATTTTAAAATATCAACAGCTGTATAGACTAACAAAATAGAAGAGAGAATAAAATAAGAAGTAAGAAGCTGTTTTGGGGGAAATTCTGGACCACGGATGAATTTTAGCAAACCTGTAAAAGACCTAAGAGCATGGACGGCAATAATAAAAATGACAAAACTAGATAACTGCCAAGCATCGAGTTATGTCACCTAATTTGGTTTACATTGTAACGCGGTTTGTTTCTATTGTTGTATGCTACTATACCATCGCTGGCCGAAGTCTACCTACGCCGTTTCCATCTGGTATTACAGATGTTACATACAATTACAATATATTTGAGCCTCTATTTAGAGGCTTCCAAAAATAACACTACACACGATTCCTCTTGCGTAAGTGTGACGGAAAATTTCAAATCTTATTACATCAAATATTGTAAGTGTAATTCTTTTCCACATCTACGAGTATATAATGGTAGCAAACACTAAAAAGAGGTGTGAGAACCAATTGTTAAATTTATAGTTAGTCAGAAATAAAATATCCCAGACACATAAAAAACCACATTTAAGTATCGAAAGATTATTCCCAAAAGTATTAAACGTTTCTAAAAACGGATTCCTAATAAGTACGAGGTATTGAAACATATTTCAACAATAATGTCAACGTTTCTAAAATAATTACACTTTACTGCCATCTAGCGGCGACCGATGGAGTTGTATGGTTGTAGTTCTCCAATAATCCGCCAGGGGCGTTATCTGTGGTTTAAACTTCTTTATCCTACAGCCGCTCCGCTATGCCTCTACCCAGTCCCGTATCTTGCAAGATGCAGAAGAGACAATTTTGGTTTATTGAAAATACCGTAAAATGGTTGTTTCATCCTCCATTTAATTTAGAAACAAAATTTAACCGTACCATTCAACATGATAACAGTCCGTTTTTGTTAACTCAAACTGTGAACACTTAAAAGACTACTTAGGATGGTGCACAATTGATGCCGATGTACTCATGAAAATATTATATGTAGACCTATATGAATTTATATTTTTTAAATACGCTTATTAATAAGTGTATTTACTTTGGAAAAAAAACAGTCTTGGAAGTCAATTGTTTATAGGCTTATAAAGGTTTACCTCAAAGCGCATTTATGCCCGGCCCCGCATACACATACTCATGTGAGCAAACCTGTGCGGTATAATATATGAAAATTCATATTTGATTTTACCTGTCCAGGTTTGCCTGAACAGGTTCACACACACGCTCCGGTATGCCGTAACGAGTATGGCCGGCCAGAAAGAAAAAAAATACTATAAAGACAATATATTTCCTCCAAACAGGCACAAAATATGTTGTTTTTTGGTTACGCTTAAGTTGTATTTTGCTCCACGTAAAGTGTTAACTATGAAACAAAACTGTTTTATACCACAATAATAAGTTAGGCATTTTAAATAAGTCTCGTGCATTAGAGTAATCTACACTTATTCTAAGAATAATGACTGATTTCCTTATCACCTCTTCAATAAAGGCGTAAATGTGACTTCGGGAGACAGGTTGTAAAATAGGCGTTTAAAGTAAGAAAACTATAATTCAAAATTAACTAGAAAATGCGCAAACTGAAATGTTATCTGACTTATTACCTATCCTTCTATCGTTTTTTTGTTTGATCCAATTTTAGCAGACATATAATCACTAAGTATTTACACAATCAGCTGTTGCTACCGGTAGCTGAAGTAGGGCCAAATTATACAGCTGGTTCTGAACAGCTGATTTATTCATGCTTGACGATGCTAATTCAGCATGGTTAACTGCTACAAACCTATCAGCATGCATTTAGCCTGTGATTATCTTATAACCAATCTATGTAATCTATCTTTGATTCTTGATTGGTTTGATTCTAGTTTTTCAGTTGGAAGGTTTATAATTAGTGAAGAACCTAACTTTTGAGTATCAACAATTAGATGCAACGGAGAAAGGTACCGTGTAAAAATCTTCAGCATAACTTGTGTTTCATGTCAACGGTTTGTAATTAATTAACTACATTTTTTTACATGTGTTATACAACGGAATATAAGTCTATAATGGAATAAAAAGTCCTGTTAGCTATTTATTTTTACGAAATGGAAGTCTTAAAGCACAAAAGCATATAAGTGTGTGGTGGCGCCACCTATGAGTGCCTTTGTGAACTACGAACTGCATTACCGACATTATAGAAGTTCCCTTCTAAAGAGCACAGAGGCACAGACTAATTTATTGTCTGTGCTTACTGCTTAGGGCTACGAATTCAATATTTTCAGATTTCAGAAATTTTATTAACATAAAAAATACCACATTAAGAACTTGTTATAAATATAAATACTAAATAGTTTTGGCCAACCATGTTTCATCATACAGTACATAGATTTATATGTAGGCTTGTTCGTACAGTGAGTGATCCAATTTTTTTTATAAAAGTGAACTTTGATCTGTTATAACGGTTGCTCATATTAATTGTAATAATCACTGTTGGTGGATAAAAATTAAAAAAAGTTTTAGATCTAAAAGAAAATTAAAAATAATGCTGAGCACAACTATTGTTAATGTTTGAAATTCTAATTTCACTATTGAACTAAAACACCGGTACATGTTGACTGTTAATTTGTAAAAAATATGTTCTATAACCATTAAATTTACCGGACACTAATTTAAAAATTATAAATAAGGTCATTAATGAAATAGTTTAATTAGTGGACAAAGTTCAATTGAGTACTCCGATGCAGCATAGAATGGGGAGGAACATTTATTTCCTAGCTTGATATTGATACAAATTGTCTTTTATTTTATCACAGCGGCGTCTAGAACTCTGAATTAACATATTTCTAGAAAAAAATCTCCGGAAAATGATGACGCATTTCTGCACCCATTTCATCCATTGTTGTTAAGTCTCACAAATGTATCATTGTAATCTGGTGGTGACTAGCAATTTGACAGTTGATATTTCCAGTCCTATTGACCTGTACTAACTGATAGACACACACAATGCGATACTTACTCTCCTCCTTGGTTCACAAGTCTCCCCGTGTCCACGGCGACGCTGTGCCGTTCAGGCTTGTCTTTCTTGCGGGTCCCTGAAAATTGAAGACAAAATGATATTAAGCTCATTAAAAAATGAAAATATACAACACAATATTTTAACAATGTAGCAGAACACCCACAAGCATGATACAATATATTCCAGGGATTATCTTAACTAGAGGTTGTCGGTCGTCCAGTGGTCGAAAGCTCGACCAAAGATAATGTAATGTACAGACTTCTCTATTTTCACCCCACGCTGTAAATGAAACATTTTATTGTGTAGCAGTCTTCTATTTGTTTTGATTTTCTGTTTATTTATCGTTGTTATTTCGTCACCAGCATGGCAACTCATAAGGCCCATGTTATTATTTTTATTTTAAATACATTTTTTGTGCTTATTTGTTAGCCTTTTTAATTTATAAAGGGATTCTGCACATCTACAGGAAAATAACTTTCTAACAGTATGCGGAGATTTCCCCTCCGATGCACACGAGCTGAGAAAAATGATTTTAAAGAAACATGCTTGCCTAGATGATTGACTTATTGGGTAACATAGGAATTTATACAGGGTTGGGAAAAAGTATAGACACCTATTAACTTTTTAATAAGTTACACAAGGAAAACCAAACTCTGCACACCTCTATATGGTATAAGCTACAGATTTTTTTGTATTCCAATTTTGTTCGGATACCTTATTATTTAGGGGGTAGCTCATAAATTGTAAATGTAAAGCCCCTTCGAGTGACAATTAATTTCAAAGGTCATCAGTTAAAAAGAATATCGATAAAAACTAGAGGTCTACATCACAACCCATCACAAAATGGGGGCAAGTTTGATATTTCATCAGCCTGAGGGACCCAACTTAAAAATATACATACATATCTCCAGAAATGTTTTTATAAAAGGGTTAAATTAGAACAACTAAACCCAGTAAATGAAAATGAAATGAAATGAAAATCCTTCTTTATTGAGGCGAACTTAAAACCTCTTACAGTTAACCTCTAAACTTACCCAGTATTATCGTAAGAGAAACTTAAAAGTTTGTTTAATCATCTTTCAAACTATTTTAACAAAACAAAAAGATCGAATCAAATTGGACCGATACAAGACGGTAACCAAATGGTAAAATGCATAACATAAATATAGCACTAAAACTGAGAAAAATTGTATTTATATCGGTGCCTTCAAGCATTATACAGGGTTGGGAAAAAGTATAGACAATTATTAACTTTTTAATAAGTTACACTAGGAAAACCAAACTCTGCACACCTCTAAACGGTATAAGCTACAGATTATTTTGTATCCCAATTTCGTCCATAGCTTAAAGAAATATAATGAATGAAAAACGCACCTAAGCAGACATCAGATTTTAGAATACGACGAAAACCTTACTTGTAGCATTGAGTATACACGTAATCAATGGTTATCAATAGTTTAATACAAGCATTGAGTACGTGTATACTCAATGCTTGTAGCTTGTAGTATACAAAGTAAACAGTTACAGCTAGCTTTCGAAACAATGTCCTCTAAAATATTCACTAAATGCTAAGAGCAATGACATCAGCTACCTTGGCCCAGTATGGTTTGGCCTTGAGTGTAGGATTCAAAACAATACCTACATGCGTCTGTGGGTGGAAACGTTGATTAGATTATTTATTATTTCTCTATGGATTACTTCGGGAAAGAAATGTATTTAAAACATATAATCTTTGAAGCGTAACAAAAGTGCAAGAAAAAAATTATTATTTTTAATGTAATTTGAAATGATAACATGAATAGGTGTCAACATAGAGATTTAAAAGCTAGACCATAAACAATCATTGTTATGCAAATATTCGCTGTTTGCTGGATTGTAGACATCTGATTTAATCAAATGGTATAGCAGAAGGAGGTCTCCATATTATAAGCAAAATATATAGCCTTGCGAAATAACAGTGTTTGATCCTTATCTTTCATGTCGACAAAAAGTTAAAAGTTTTTTACCTCTCGTATATTCCACGTCATTGCAATAAAATCACTAAACTATTTATGTAAGAAAAACTAACCCAACCCCTGCTTGTTTTTCCTACTAGAAGCTTACTAGATAGTTTTGCCAAAATCAAAAATAAAAACGAAAAAGTTAACAATCCCCTTACCTTAAAAACAAATTATCCTTCTAAAATTAAAAAGCCCAATAAGCGTATCTTTGGACTTCGTAAAGTGTAAACTTTTATTAAGAGTTTTACAGTCTCGTAATATTCCTGAAATTAACTTGTCATTTCCTTCCTTTGTCAACTTTATTGGAACTTTTTCGCGCTGCTGCTTTTACTTAACTCAGATGGGGTGTTCTGAAAAGTAAGGGCGAGGGGACGGCGCCAGAGGTTAATTATATATTTTTCTATTGATTCTACGACGGAAGTTTGTTTACATCATTTTTTATTCTTTTCCAAAAATATCGTGGATTTTACCAAACCATTAGTGTTATTAAACTTGCCAATTTGAGATTATTTGGAAATCAATTTTTAAGGTAATACTTTCATACAATTTAGTTTTGTGTAGAATAATTTAATTACTATCGATTTTGTAAATAGCAATATATAAATAGTAAACGTTAAGTGTAAATTTTCCGAAAGTTAGACAAAGTACTATTATTTTATGAAATACTACTGTAATTTGCAGGAATTGTTAAAATCATATATGTATAATATTTGTTTGTTTATTTCTGGCTTCAATCACCAATCACCACTCACTTTAATTTCGTTTGTTAAAAGTTAATATTTTATTTGTATGTACAGTATGTTTATGTGTGTTTCAAAGCCAATGAAAATCACTCAATACACAGATTGAAAAAAAACTCAAAAAACTGTTGTGCTTCAGAAAGCTAACAAATCTTTAGAATGATTTTAATTTCTGATTATGTTGTCAAAATACTGTAACCTACCATCTTACCACGTTTAACACTTTTTGTAAGGGAACGGTACAAACCCAGGTCTTATACTATTCAACGATGTTATAAACCATCACGATAACCCAATTTTAAATGGTAATATTTGGGATCGAACTAACAGACTTTGATTTGGAAGCAGTCACCATAACAGCGTATCCAGGGACTAGAATTTACAACTTGCAGTGGAAAATAGACCAAGAAATGCTTGATTGACAGCAATTTGGAATATATGAGCAATCTCAAATGTCTAAATGTTATACAATTGTAAAAAAATGGAGCGATATACATAAAGGGACATTTTAATGTCGATTACAATCAGCTGATTAATTCCTTTAACAATTCCAGCTGATTTCCTATACATATTGCACACAAGCTGTAATGCTCTTACTTAGTCAATAACGATTATTAATTAATAGCGTTTCGATACTAATCGCGTAGGGCAGTTTCAGGGTTTTAACTTTATCCGATTTAATTTAATCTTCTTAGTCTGTGGCTTGTCTCCGTGTGTGTATTGTGTGAGTGTGTGCGTACTTGCGTGTGAATGAATGGTGCACCCAACAATGAATTGCACTTGCCAAGGGAATGCATTATTGAACACGCATTGTTGAAATCAACACACCTACAAGCAGACGATTTATGTTTGGAATTTTAACTAGTTTTCTTCACACGAGAGACGTACGTCTATGCAGTTGAAAGTAGTGCACTTGAAATTGACATGAAAACTGTTCTTTTGTATGCCAAACATGGAAGGTCACATAAGCTGTAACACACGAAATATATGTGTCCGTCAATAAATGTCTCAGTCAAATATTCAACGTATGTTGGCCATAAAGTAGGTTGGCCACAAACGAAGAGGTGTTGAGAAAAGCAAAATAAAGGAAAAAAGTGTGGTTGGACAGGCCACACCCTCAGAAAACCAAGTGACAACATTGCCAGGCAAGCCCTTGAATGGAACCATCAGGGAAACAGAAGGAGAGACAGACCAAGGATTACTTGAAGAATATATCCGTAGGCTACAGATAACATCAAGGAAGAAGGAAAGAGCTAAAAAAGAGGATGACCCAGAATCGAGTGCGGTGGAAGGTGGAAGCTTTTGCTACGACATCTCGGGAAGAAATGAACCAAGTCAAGAAGTAGAACTTCTCTGCGGTTTCAAGTAGCAACGAATATCAGGTGAAAATTGTAGAAAATATCTACTAATAACCCTTTAAATTGTAGTTATTATGTCTGAGGTGAGTCCTTTGAAAATGCATAACTTGGAATTGTGTTTGAAATTGTAATATACGACTCGTTACGACCTCTAGCGAAAAATTTGTCATAAGACATTGGATGCTTGTTTATATAAAAGCACAATAATGAACTATTGTGTATTAACAGCGAAAAGTACTCCATTGCCGCTCCAGAACTGTGGAAGGGGATGCGGAATACTAGCCCCCGGAAAACCACCCGCTAGGTGAAACGTGACGTCACGAAATCTGCCAACTAACCAATATGGGAGCCGTGTCCGCGACTGGAATACTACCCCCCCCCCTCCACCAAACCCTACAAAATGTGGTGCTATGTAATTGAAATTTTTTGAGTAGTAATTCCGTTTGATTATAGGAAAGGCATGTGGGGAATATCATACCGAATATTGAAATGTTATACCAAGTTTGGTTGGTTAGGTTAGTTAGTTTAGAACAGTATGACAATGAAACCTGAGTGTCCGTGACTGGAAAACTCCCCCGCCCCAACAAAAACAAGTCAACATGACGTAGGAACCAGCTTGGGCACGTTGTTGTTCGGGGGGCAGCATTTTGTGTATTAGAAATATCTATCAATTCCAAAAGTCGGTACACTCATGAGCACCAATACATGACTTTTTGATTTCTTATTTGCCACAAGTTGTATTTGTGTTGGATTTATCCCTAAAAATAACAAAATAAATACAAAAATTCTCCACACATGTCTAAGGGAATTATCAATCGATGTACACTCCTCGCCACACCACATAGTCTATGTATGTCTATGTAATGTGGGAGGGATGCAGTCCATGACGCCAAAGCTTGTCCACCCATCGACCACTTAGTTTATGGCGGTTGGGGCGTGCGGTTCAATCCTAATCGGACCTACGCTTTATGATAATACGTCGCGCCGCCCGCTCTCCACAGAGATAGCACACGTTCGAATCTGGAGCGACAATCTGGCATTTTGGAGGGAGATCGGTATTGAATTTTGGAGGGAGACTGGGTGTCCGGGTTTGTTATATCAAGCGATTTAGTATTTACAGATGATTTTAATCAAGTGTGTCGTGACATGGGTCGTTAAAGTAGGGTTCTTTTAACGAATCTTCCTATTTGGAAGTACCTATTGGATACGTAGGTGGCACGGTAAGACCCGGGCCCGATTTACTTTTTCATTTTGAAGTCCCCAGAAGCCACACAAGAAGCAACAACACGATTCGTTGAAATTTTATGGTGAAATTTGGCATTAACATGTAGGGCTGTATACACTTGAACGAGTTCGCGAATAGCAAGATAGCGTCATATGAAAAAAGTGTTATATGGTTTAAAATAATTAAAAATGTTCCAACTTTCTCTTTAAAAACATTAAAATTCTTTATTTTTATTACAACCATCGTATAGAGCATGAAAAAGCAAATAATTATGTAAACCAATCGTTATTGTAGGATTAAAGGATACGGTGAAAATTTCAAAAATACTGAACATTTAAATTACCATCAAAATGCCCATGTTATTCTTATGGAGGAAAAGTAAACGGTTGTAGAAAAACTTGTTAATGGATATTCTTGATCAAATTTGGCAATTCTCTCGATTTCATACTACCTAAGCTATAAACACACTTTATAACATTTCCTGTAGTAGCATAATTTACTTCAAATAGGCTTAGCAAAATTACCTTTAAATACTGCAAATAGGCATTCAATTTACTTGAACCAGACTTGCAATTAATTTTGGATACTGCAAAATTTGCAGCATTAAATTTATGTGAACCAAATATACCATTGACTTTGGATTCTGCAAGTAGACATTCCATTTACTTGAACCAGAACCAGACGTACCATTCACTTTGGATATTGCACAATAGGCATTCCATTGAGCCAAATATTCAATTGACTTTGGATACTGCAAATAGGCATTCCATTTTTAGGAACTTTGGATACTGCAAGTAGACATCATGTTTGACTTTAAGTAAAATCTATGCAGCATTGACTTCGTATGATTAATGTATTAATGTGCTTGCTTCGCTCATTATTGCAAGCAGTTAACTGCAATTAGTATTCAATAAATGCTTACCTTTCTCATATTTGGTTCTGAGAGCCACAAGACTGGAGACCATCCTAGCTCTGTGGGAAGAGTTCTTGACTCCCAGATCCTTGATGTCTGCCTCGGAGAATCTCAGGAGCTCCTAGAACAAAAAATACATTCATTTTAAGATACTAAAATTCTTAGATATTGGTTTTGTTAACTGTAACCGCAATCTGACACATATTTTTTACCATTTGCTTGTCAACAACCCTTGGTAAGTGGTGGGAATAATTATGATATTTTATAGGGAAAACCACAAAAGTTGCAGTAGCTTAAAAACCTTGATTCTTCCAGAATTGGAAGTAGTACCATTTTGTGTAGAGTTAAAATCATCATGACAAACTAAATTTTAATCTAAACCAAAATAATAGTTCTCTATGCGAAATAATTAAAATAATAATACTGTGATCAATTTAATTATTTTATTTATTTATTTACTACTGAGTATGATTATTTATCTAAGGGTTAGTTAACACATCATAAAGTATACATTCAACTAATACAGGGACAAATGACAACAAATGTCTACCACAAATGTATAGTGTCTGATACTTTAACGTTCCCTAAAAATAATAATAATTATAGTAATTTTAAGTTTTAAATAACAGAAAGGTTGTCGCTACTGACATAACTCGGCTTTAATGAGTGAACTCTGGAGCAATTCCGCTAACTCGTTTAATTCCTGCAATAATTAAACCCACCTTTGTTCCCAAGTCTCTTTGAGCTGTCTAGACTTGGAATTGGACTTTGATTACTAAATACCTTTGGATTAATTGAGTGCCATTCATAATGTATCAGTGATTTGTAAACGGATAAATGATTGTAGAAAACAAATTGAACAAATTTACTAATAGAAAAATATACTTAAGTGTTGCTTTCAATGAAAGTAATACAAGTTTTAATTAAGCAATAAAAATACAGATGTGGAATTGAAATTTGTTTTATATCAATTATAAAAGAGTTTTAACAGTGCTTAAAGCAAATTTAGGTCAAACACTGATTGTATGCATGGATTGAAATGATTAAATTTAATACAAGAAACGGAAGAAATAAACAATGTAGCTTATTAAATTAATAAGGACGCGATTTGTAAAATGAACTATCTACGAATTGATTTGGAACCATCTACTCTTTTAAACTATTAATAACAATGTTAAAATTCAGTATTTATTAAAGTAAATATGAATTTAAAACATAAGTTTCTATTGTAGGGATTTGTTCTATATTAATTACAAAAATATTTTATACAAATCAAAAACAAAAACTATAAAAAACAATTCTATGAGACTTATGTACACCCTGAATTAATACGATTTTATTTAATCAAGTGAAAAATTTTAAATTAATTAGTTTAATTAGTATACTGTATTGACTTTAGAGGTACATATAGGCACAGTTAAGTAACGTTGCAATGTCTACATACAAAAATCTGTCAAAAAGTGATTTTTAAATATATAACGGAAACTCCTTAAACGGTAGGTTACTTAATGGTTAAACATTGTATTCTGCATTTTGCATTGAAACCACAACTGTTTGATACAAAAGTTTTACAACCAGTAAAAGTTATACTTTGCAGAGTTTTGGTCAAAGACAGCTAAACCACTACATTGTGGTTGTATCGTTTGATATTTGATGTGTTTGATGTTGCTATCAACGCGACAACACTTTACAGTATTTTATTTTATATTATTGATCATGAAGCTATATGAGGTAAGCTGTAAGTATTATAGCATTACTCGTATTTTAACAAAAGCGAAATTCACAGTTGCGAACGGAAATACTCCACGTGCAAGCCTCACGTCATGATTTGAGAGACGAAAATATAGATATTTTGAATATATTTAAAAAGGAAAAAGTTACATTTAGCCAAATAAAAATAATAATAGATTGACCTTTTTGTAGGAAAATGTACATGCTTAGTTGATAGAATAAAAATATAAGCGGAGGTATCTCAAATAATAATGGATTTAAAAATTTAAATAATAACTGTGATCTCTACTCAACTATTCAAATAACCAACTTATTATTACCAAACATCATAGTTCATTCTTCAAATTATGTAACTTGTGCCTTATAATTTAACAAAATTATGTACATTATGTACCTTTTAAATAGCATATTTGATCACGTGTATCTAATTTTCGGTACATAAGGTAGTTAGGTCAATGGGTAAACCGAAAATTAGGTCTATAAAGAGAACTTATCGTCGATAGAAACATCGCTTTATTAAAAGTCACCCATAATTTCAAAACCGTAAACCAGAAAACACTAAATTATTTCCACTTAGAAACTCTCAAAGAAATTACACCAAAGAGTACAAATGTAATGAATGTACACGATGTGTGCGATAGACGTAACACCTCAAATATTCATTATATGCTATCTGAGGTACAAATACCAGATATGTAATTTTTAAGATTCTACCAACTTGAGAAAAATGTTTTTCTTCGGAAGAGAAACACTAAAATGAAAGTCTGCGAAAGGCAATTCGGCTTGATGATCACGTGTCTGTAGAAGCCGAGAACTAAAATAGAGGTGAGCACGGAATTCCAATAGCTTTCTTTGAAAATACAGAGCTTAGGTGTAAAATAGCTTTCTCATTTAGAGGTGCTACAAGTATCTTATACAATTGAAACAGGCAGTTTAAAATTAATTTAATAACTCTATTCCTTAATAGAAAATTTACAAAGTACTGTATTTTTATCTTTTAGTAGTTAAATTTAAAAAATAATAACATGTTTACCCTTTATTAGGTTAAATTCACTTCTTAATCCACGAGTTTCTGATATTGACCAGTTTTATAATTAAAGAAGAATAAAAAATGTTCTAGGTTGAGACAATTTTATAATTAGAAAAAAATCACAGTTGGCTGTTCAAGTTTATTTTCAATACCTTAAACAGATTACAATTTTATAAGCAGGCGCTTATGAAAAATACGGGCTGAATCTATGCAATTAAAGATTTTTGGATATAAAATATCCGAAGTCATTTTTATGTTTCACGTTTAATACATAGTGTTAAAAAATTTTGTTGCTATCGATATGACTTTGTTTTATACTTATTATACTATCGCAGCATTAAAGAATCTTTACCTACATTTCACATTACATTTATATATTTTTTTTTCATAAATACCTATTTTACTAAAAAAAAATTATTACAATGAGTTATGTGTTGAGAATATCACCTAATCTTCAAACTATATCTTGTTTGTTCTGGATCTTCACGACTTGTTAGTTACATTTATTAGTAATGTTAAGCTTATAACTGTAGTATTTATCATAATATTTAATACAGTTCATTAATTTTATTACATTTCATTACTTGTTTTTGTAATTGATTTATGTAATTGATTGATCGTTAGCTTCTATTAGCACACTACTTTAATTTGTAAAACAATTATGGTAATACATTGATTAACTTGTTTCAAAAGATACTATTTTTGGTTATTGCTTTAATTCCATTAGACATTATGAAAACACTGAAAGCAAAAGAGAAAAATAAAACGAGAGTTCTGGTAATTCGTCTTGACTCTCACGTAGTAGACGCAGTGTATATAGGAGAAGTGTGTGTGTGAAGGGAGGAATTCCTAAAGTCACGTTTACACTGAACCTTCAGCTGATTTAGTTTCCATTTTAATCAAACTTTCGTTCCAAACAAAGATTCTAAATTTGATTTTTTAAAGGTTTTCTAATATATTTGCTACCTTAGAGTGAAGACTGAAAATTGGCTTATTTCGACGAGTTGGCTGAAAAATCCACACGGTTAAGGATGTGTTATCAAAAATCCACGCAGTTAAGGATGTATTAACAAAAATCCACACAATTAAGGGTGCATGATAACAATCCACACAGTCAAGGGTGTATTATCCAAAATACACGCAGTTAAGGATGTACTATCGAAAATCCACTCTTTTAAGGATGTATTTACGAAAATCAATACAGTCAATTTAAGTGGCCAAAAACCCTTTGAAGTGAAGGTTAAACGTCATGCAATTTAAATTGTTATTAAGTTCTCAAATCAGTTAAGAACTATAAGCACTTTAGATACATAACCTACTCGACCGGTTATTAGAATCATGCACTAAATTTAGCTAATTGAATACCGTATTGTATGACTAAGCTAAAGAATACCTATAATCTATGATGTACACCAATAAACAATATGATGTAGTCGGTTGGGGATCAAGTTTAGAAAAGTATTTTGGAAAAATCAATGTTCAACCAAGAATAACAATTTTGTCATTTTGTCATAATAATAATTTTGCTAGATAGTGATACTGATCGAATCTCAGTTAAAATACATCTTGATCAATAAATATGTTTTTTTATAAAATGTACACTAGTTGAGCCTGCCAAGTAAAATTAAAAAAACTGATTAGTACTTAGATTGTATACTTACAACCTTTATTGGGTTTAAATTAAAATCTCAATTGTTAGGTATTAATATGACTAATTATATAAAAAAAAACGCAATATAGAGTTAAGAAATCGTGGTTATTTTACTGTAGCGAAAATAGTGGATTTTAGCCAATCAAAACTCTGTTTCTTATCACATAACAGGTATTGACATCACTACACTTAACTCTCAATGTTGTTTTCCTGTTGCATACCTAGTATGCGTCATGAGAAACCATTAGAAGATTGCAGGGAAATCCTTGATTCTGAATGAATCAGGTGCCGGTAATACAGTACTTTACTTTGGAGATAGATTTATGAAGAAATTCTTCGTTAAGTATATATTTACCTATGGCTCTTATAGTCAACCGCTAAAATACAAAAAAAAATTGCTTCCTCTGAAAGTACACTGAAGAAGAGGTAAGTGGAAAAACTATTTTAAATATTTAAAAATTAAACTTGGTCTAAGACCAAGGTTTTGGTCCAGCTTAGAGAAAACGTAAGCAATTGCCAATGACGTAGACAAACGCACATAATAAAGCAATTGTTTTGGCTTACCTCGACGCCGCTGAACCTCTCAAATTGGTGGCTGTACTGGGTGAGGTCCAGGATGGTCAGCCATTGGACAATGTCTAGGTGAGGCCCAGTCACCGGCATCTTGCGACGAGACAGCGATATCAGCGATGGGAAGCGGAAACTCCATGCGATACCTGCGACATAGAGTAAGCAACTGAGTGACTGACTATACATTGTACTATGTAAAATACTAAATTATCCGGTAAAGTCACCGGCATCTTGCGACGAGACAGCGATATCAGCGACATACTTGTGACATAGAAACACAACTTTGTAAGCAACTGAGTGACTAAAATATACCTTGTACTATTAAAAAATACCCTGGTAAAATCTGGGTTTGGAGAGCGAAGAAAAGTTATCCCAAAAGTCCAGGAAGAGTGTGCTGACATTTAAGGTAAATAATATAAAGATATACAACCGTTCTGACAATATCATAACCCTATTAACGATATGTTTAATATGCGAAGGTTACGTTTGTGGGATATTATGCACAATGAGTACTTTCTCTTTACATCAAGAAGTTAACTATCAGCAATTAAACCTAATAATAGTGCAAATTAAGTTAACAATTTTTAACAAGATCAAGACGAGTATTCCAGGGTAATAACTTTAATTCCCCTTGTCGATACTATCAACGGAGCCGTTTAGCATACTAACAAGAGTTAGGAAACTATCAAAACTTTCAGAACAAGAGCTGCCGATTATCATCGTAATATTCTCAGAGATCAGCTGATTAAGAAAACACATGTCCTATTCGAAGTAGAAAGAGAGTATGACCTAAACTGTGGAACGATTTGCTAGGCTACTATTTTACGTTTGTGAGGTTAGAGCAGGAGTATCTTTTATTTTTGATTACGAAAGGAATTTTCCAAAGGGGTTTTGGTACTTTTCTGCAATACCGACCACTCTATGTTAGGTTATGTTAGTTAACTGAACATTGTAAATGAAGCCTTGTGCATTGTTGCTAAATTTGACCACCTGTTTCTTTAACAAAAAACCATTAATTATAAGTCAACTGATCTACGAGAAACTCACCCCCAGAACAGTTTTGACATTTCTCAGGATAGAACCGGCAACCTTTTGTTTGCAAGGCGGGCACTATATCAGCTGCCACACTGTGTTAATATGTACCACATTTGTTAACGAAACACGATGAAATGAAAAAGAGCTTTATTTTCAAAATTCTCAATACAAATTACAAGTTTGTCACACGCAGGGAATGTGCCTACGCGCTACAGCAATACCATCTCGGTCGTCTGCCGGGTTGGCACGTCTAAAACTAAATCTAACATAACTGTTTATAAACAATAACTTAATTCCTTTAAAATAAAATTGAACATCTTTTCACAAACTAACACTATATAACCACGATTGCATAAAAACAAAGATGCATATATTAAAAAAGGATCTGAGGGCATTATATTAGATGTGTACATAGAAATTACGATGCATGCAAATTACATTTAACTAATTAATGTAACGTGTGCTTATTATCGTACTGAAGAACATCTAAGGCTTTATTATACCATCGAGTTGTTCGTTGACAAATGATCATCTTGCAGTCGCCATTCTACCGTACTGAAGCCCGCCATGAGGATATCATTTAACCTGTATCGTTGTACAGTAATGCAGTTTGCTTACTTTAGAGGTTTCATTAGAAAGGGTGGGTTGACACATAATTGAAGTATAGCTCTTTGCGCCTGACATATTTTGACTTGGTTCAAATTTACGGCATTGCATGCTACTAGTAAAGACCTTTAATTTGATGTATGTATCAACTTAAGCTTACATTAAAGATTTTCTCCTGATCCTGGAGGGCCACCCCTCAGTGATAGCGGATCACTGAATAATGTGTTAAATGATTTTAATGCTGAGTAACTTTGTACAAAAATTGTAGCTCTATTTTGATTATTTTAGCGAATTTCCCTAGAGGGAAGTAGCTATTACCGTAGGTCTCATGGTAAGACCTAAGCCCGGGACCGATTTACTTTTTCATTTTGATGTCCCCAGAGGCCAAAAACACCATTCGTTAAAATTTATATATATATATATATATATATATATATATATATATATGTGTGTGTGTGTGTGTGTGTCCATCCGCACGATAACTTGAGTAATTTTTGTCCGATTTTGATAAAATTTAGTTTGAAGGTGTAAGGCGGGATAAACTTGAATGAGTTCGCGAACCAGCATGATCGGACTATGGGAACGGGGGTTTATGGGGGGTTTTATGGGGTAAAAATAGGTTTTTCCCATTTTTGACCCTAAAAACACGAAATTTCACCATTTCTTTCTGAACCATTTTGTAGAGCTTAAAAAAAAATAATTTAGTATATTGAAGCGTTATTATGCGCCTAATTGTTACGGAGAAAATTCAAAAAATTGTAATTTTGAAATTCCCATGTTATTCTTATGGAGAATAAGTCAACTGTTGTAGTTTGCTTGTTTATCAACATATTTTGATCGATTTTGGAAAATACTTTTATTTCTTACTAAACTATTATTATTATATATAAAAAAAATCTTGTTTACCCTCCCTGTTGCAGCAAACCTAAGTACTCGTTAAACTAATTCTATTTAAATAGGAAATAAATGTGCTATTTTTATGGAGGCATTTTAGTGTAAATCCAATCAGGTTAATGGAAATTTGCTTAGTCTGCAGGTTTGCTGCGGCGGGGGTATTTTTAATTATTTAACTGACAGGGGCTTTTTCCCACCCTGTATAGAAATGCTAACAGTTCTTATTGTTTTGTAAAAGGGGCCAGTCACAATAAAGATAGCCGCTTATCTTAAATATCTTAAATATACTTCCAAAGTCGAGGATTTGCCACACTGAATGCTGGTCGCACACAACAAGCAGGCCGAAGCCCAAAGAACCACAGACACAGGTAGGTTAGAGAATATGATGCACTTCCATCTCTCCTAGAGCTAAACACCCCTCCATCCTGGATAAAGGAATGTCACTGGGACCCAATGCCCAGTCGTCCATGGCTGTGGCCTACTTGAAAATGCCGATACCAACACCGAGCAGTTACCTCCCCTTTGGGGGCTAGGTTTTTCACCTCCCAGGACGAGGCTACTTCCAAAGTCGAGGATATGACTCACAAAATGTCAGTCGAACACAACAGGTAGGACAGTGTCACAACCACAGTTACAGGTAGATGAGGAGAGGCGGAATTAACGGCGTCACTGAGAGCTAAACACCCCCCCACCCTGAATGGAGGGAATGTCACTGGAGGCTCCCCCTAAGGGGCTGGCGCTTACCAGTCGTCCATAACTGTGGTCTACCTGCCGGGTCTGACACCGGGCAGTTACCTCCCCTCTGGGAGAGCTAGGGTCCGCGTGGTCGCCAGGCCACGCACCCACGCAAGCATGGGCCCCCTGCGGGACGACTTGAGATCTGGATAATCCTGCTACAGTCTGTATGATGGAACCTCTCTCTTGTCCCTTCGTCTACCAGGAACTGCTCCGTGCCTCAAACCATTGGCCAGTAGAGGTAGAGCCAATCAGAAGATAGGTTAAATCATACAGAGTATATTAACAGTGATGTTTAACTATGTGGTCATAATAAAGACAGAAACTTTCTTTTGTTCTAATATATCATAACCCATGACTCTTTGGATCGAAACATTAGCTAGTCAATGTTTAAAAAATTCAAGTCCAGGCTATGACAAAAGTTTATAAAAATAATGTCCACATGTAATAAATCCTCATTAGTAGTATAAGTGTCGCAGAAAAGTCTTGAAAATCAAACATGTAAAACATTACGAAACTAAGGTGAGCACAACATTTTATTTGTGTGGGGTACAAGCAGGTGTTCAGGGTAAAGGTGTTACAAAACCAGAAAAGTCTTCAACGTTTTAAACTCATAGGTTTCTACTCACCACAATAAGTTTCATTACGTTTATTTGATAAGCTAATGTATTTTCAACACACTTAATTTCAGGGCCCAATAACGTATAAGCCCCAAATTACCATATAACACACCGCAATGTAAAAAGCAATGCTGACTGTTATATTTTGGTCTAAATTGACAAATTTTCATCTACATCCTTTTATTTTAATAAGACAAATTTAAAAAGTGGTGGTCCTTAACAAAAGCCAAATTAATCATTTAAAAAAATAACGCAGATGCGTTGATCAGAAGAGTATTTTACAGCTTCAATTGCCTCTGACTGAGAGCGGAAGACACATTTTGCAAACGTCACTTACTGAATAAGCCTTTCGATAATATAGGACGAGAGATTTAAACGTTTGCAAAGTGTGTCTTCCGCTCTCGCCGCAACAGCTGTTTTACCTTACGATAAACTAATGGACAAGATTGCATGCAGATTTGTTTATGGTCAAGTCACGCGACCGACCCACGGTTAGTTCACACACTCCTACACGCGACACACACACACACGCACGAGCGTGGTTGTTCCTTGAGTTGTTGGGAGGAGACTATAACACCTGTTGTGTCACATTGCTGAGATCATAGCTTGACCCAAGGTCAGTTGAAGGTCGGTTGCTTGTAAAAGTGTCCAGTAGTCCAGTCGTAAGAGAGCGTTGCTTCATCTTGGCGGTAGGCTTCCATGGTTAAATCAGTTCAATCTTGGTATTGGCGGAGATGGTAAATTCAAAGTTGGGGCACAGAAAACATACTACTATAACCACAGGATAATAGTACTACTATAACCATAAACATAGGGTTATAGTAGTATGTTTTCTGTGGTTGGAGTCACCTTCTTACCTGTAGCTTACCTTTTTGGACATTGCTTAAATTTGTCGTTGTTTTAGGGCAAGTTTTTAAGTGGCAGCTTTTAATGAGACATTGTTTTAACTGGTTCTGATATGCCGGACAGAGAACCTTATTATGTCTTGTTAAATTAAACACTATCACTATGACGGGCCCGTTTTACCGATATTAAGTAATGCAGTATTTAATTTCATTACATACGGTTGATAATTCAGCCATAAAAGTCACATAATGCCTTTCAGTACTTCGGTTTATCAGGACAAATCTTTAGCCGGTCAAGTCGGCAGGTTCGAAGGATGCTTTTCTTAACACCAAATTTTTGGCTTTAAACTCATTCTTAATCCAGTTACAAGTCCACGTTGTATCCTATACGTAATTATAGGCAGTAAGAAA